ACCAAGTACGATAAGAAGCATTCCACAATTTAATGTTATATTTAAGATTTTGCAATTTTTTCTTAAATATAACCCATGGATTATTAACATCCACAACCTGAGCCCAAGAGGTCCTCACCAAACTATCGAAACCATCCATATCAAACCAAGAATGGAACACCCTAAATGGGGAAGGGCCATAATCGCAAATATGCTCCGAAAGAAGAATAGGGCGATGATCCGGGATTTTTTTCTCTAAGACCATACCAGAAAGATGAGGAAAATGCCCAAGAATACCATTTGTAACCAAGAATCTATCCAGATTACTAAATTTTGATCCCCACTTATTGCTCCAAGTGTACCTAGGCCCTCCCAAAGGAATATCAAGCAAGGCAGCCTACTCAATAAAATTGTTGAACAAATTAGCAGTCGTCGCATTAAATTGGGAACCCAATCTTTCCGATTCATCTCTGACGACATTAAAATCTCCCATAATAATACATTCACCAGAGAAGTTCAAGATCAGTTGAAGGAGTTGGACCCAAAGGTCTCGTTTACTATCCGCATCTTGAGGAGCATAAACAGAAATAAACATAATATTTAGGCCCGAATTCCTCCAAGTCGCCTCCACAATGACAAAAAAATCTGAAATGACAATGTTATTATGAGAAATAACATCGGTATCCCAAATGGCGATGATACCACTCGAAGCACCACGAGAGGGAGAAAGCACAAAAGAGTAAGAAGAAGTTCCCCAAAAAGAACCGACCACACTGAGATCCACACTATACAACTTCGATTCATAGATGGATAAAAAATTGACCTTATGCTTATGGCAAATAGATCTAATCCAAACCTGCTTGTCTCTACTACCCGCTCCTTGAATATTAATAAAGATGCAATTCATATCTCTACTCGATTTTTCTCGTGACCATGAACAATTTCTTTTATCCGATCGAAGCACTCTTCCATGTTGTAACCCAAAGATCTACCCATCTCCAAAGTTTTTTGGATTTCATTTAGGAATCCATTATTTGTACTCGGCCCATCGGAAGAACCACCATGTTGCCCATGATTGGAAACACCCGGGGGATGAGAAAGAGATTCATCTGAGGATTCCACACCCGACATTCTACCGTATCCGCCAGAAAAACCAACAAGATACATCTCGGACCCTTAAACTTCTGATTTACAGCCGTGTGAGAAGAGGTTGAGTTATCCGGAATAGAACAGGCAGCCGGAACTGCGCCACATGAGCCACCAGCATCGGCGGTAACAGTAGGGGCTGTTTCTAGACTTTTCACAAAAGCAGGGGCTTTTTCTGAATTATTTTCATCTGCGGGGGTGGGCACTGTAGCATTTTCCTTTTGAGTCTTCTTTGTTGTGGCAGAATTTTGCATGGGGCCTTTACCAATTTTGGCATTTTCAACTTCACAGGAATCAACACATTCCACTTTTAAAAGTACCACCTTTGTGAGATTGATTCAATTTGATAAAATCACCTTCTTTATCCATTTTATCCATCATTTCATAAATACTAAATGGGTCCTCGAAAACTTCATTATTATCATGATTTGAGTGGAGATCTTCCTCTTCTTCAAACGGACCTTGTGCTTCACGGTTTTCCATGACAGACTTTGGAAAATCGAAGGAGAAGGAAGGTTCCCATCCCGAAGCTTCTTTGATGCGAATAGTAAAAATCAAATCATCAACCTTAATCTTAACCTCTTCCGAGATGATTCCTTGGAATGTGGTCAAAATACAAACCCGATTCTTATAAATATCTTCACCAAGATCGTCTTCAAGATAGGCAATATATCCCCACTTTGCAATAATTCGTCTAAAAGCATCTTTGCTCCATGCACGTAGAGGAACTCCTTCAATATCTATCCATACAAGTCGTTTAAGAGGAATAAAACTCTTATCCCATTCTCGTTTTTCCACAAACCAATGGTTCAATCCATCATTAGACATGAAATTTTTACAAGCCTCTTTCACTTTGAATTCAAACATGACCTAATACCCACCAACATATCTTAGATCAAAATCATCAAAGCCCTCATCATAACAAAGCATACGAATATTTGGCAACGTAGAGAAGTATCTAACATTAACCAAACAAGCACGTTTTATCTTTTCAACTATAAAGTCACCGGATGGAAGGACTAATATGTCATCAACATGAGTCTTGACACAATCATCGTGACCAATAGACGATCCTTTAACAACACTTGCAAAAGAATTATCCGGGGAGACCATTTTCTCTGCTTTGGGCGGAATCCCACGAGAAATTGGAGCTTTCGATTCCAAGTTTTTTGATTTCGAGTCTCTAGGGAAGGATGAAAATAACTTATGATAACCAAACCAAATATCACAAAGCTGTTTGATTATATGATCGTTACTAGTTACCCCAAAGAACCGAACAAAGCCAAACCTTTTTCCTAATCGCGACCTCTTTTTAGATATGAAGATATCAGAGACTTTTCCGATACGATTACAAACACTCCATAAATCTTTTGGGATTATATAGTCTGGGAAATTAGTAATGTAGAAGGAAGAGATGGAGGGACTGTTACGGTGCCAAACCTTGTCATGGAATTGAGATTGAGAAGTAGGTTTTGATTGACGAGCCTTAATCCACGAATCAGAGGACCTCCATCTAGTCGCCATGTTGGGAAGAGGACGAACAGGATGAATTAATCATCCGGCCACCGGATTATACGGCGTTTGCGCCGGCTGTGGGTAGGGCCCGAAATCAATGTTTCAAATAATATTTACAACTTAGATCTTAGAACCTAAAACATAAAAGTAATAAATCTTATGTTTAAGAACCTTAAATCCAAAATAATTAAATAATAATCCTATCACTATGTAATATCGAAGGTTAAGTGTGTTTCTTTTAACTTAATGAAGTTAATATTAACAACACGTAAAATATTCAGATGAATTTTGATGTTTCCTTCATGAAGGAGGAGAAGAATAGTGTTTATGATGTGAGATGTGTTTTTTTTTCAAGGCATTATATTTCTTTTAAATCAATCATGTTTCCTTAATAATCTGATTTTTTTATCGTTGTTCAAAAATCTCTCTCTCTCTCTCTCTCTCTCTCTCTCTCTCTCTCTCTCTCTCTCTCTCTCTCTCTCTCTCTCTCTCTCTCTCTCATAAACCTAATGAAATCCTTAATATCACTCCAAATTTCATTCATTTTCTTCATTCTTCTGTTGCATTCACCTTTTAATTAACTTTAAGATTGATTTTTATTAAATGAGTGTAAATATGTTTATAATTATGCTATTGGTGAGAATTAAAACCTCGATGAATTAAAATGAACATATAAAAAATGAGTGAATGAACATCGATGAATTAAAACAAGTTAGAATAAAAAATAAATATAAAAAATGAACAACGATGAATTAAAACAAGTTAGAATTTAATAATCGACATTCATATAATGTCTTTCTTTCTTTTTAAATTTCATTAAAAATACAAATTTAAAACCAATAAATTACAATAAAGTAGAACTTAATGACTGATTCTCTTTTTTTTTTCCATGTTCTATTTTTTTTCTCTTTATTTACTTTTCAACTCTCAAAGTTAGAAAATTACAGTTCTTCATATGTATATACAGAAAGCATATAGAAATAATATATTGTAAGACATATTTTGATTTAATTTTATTATTGAACTTATTTTAAAATAATGTTTAATGTAAGTTAAATATCATTTTTTTAAATCTATTTTACATTTAAAAATTATTTAATTTGATAATGTACACTTTAAATTTATAACGAATAAGTAGTCAACTTGTTATTTGTTATCATTAAATATGAGATTAAAATAGTTATTTATTTATATTCTTGATAATAGTGTAAAAAAAGAAATAATGTTTATATCAGCAACACTATATTTGTTCAAATATCATATATTTGTTCAAATATCACATATTTGTTCAAATATCATTATCCATTATTGACATTTATCACTTCATGACTTAACAAAAAAGGGCCTAACCCATACTATCCAAAATGCATGCAAAGATGAAATCCTAAAAACTAAGATCAAGTCCTAAAGACATGTTAACCCTTAATCAAATTTGTCGGCTAGCATCAACAAAGCATTTGCAAAAATACCAAAAACAACTTAATACTAAGTTTTAATAAAAAAAAAACCAATGATAATAAATTCAAAACATGTGTTTTTTAAGCAAATAGATAATTATTGAATCGGGGTTGTCTGGTTATTTGAGGCCAAAATCATGTTTATGTTTGTCATTTTGCTCTTTTAATACACACAACAAATGTGGATAGTTTTAAGAAAATGTAGTATAAGAAAAAAAGGTTGATCATATCATAAAACCAACATGGAACCTGCCTACCAAGGTTCATGAACCTCAACAACCCTCAAAACCCCACCCGAAACTTTAAAAAATAAAAAAAAAAATTGAAAATTAAAAAAAAAATACTACATTATATAACTTGCACATTATGTTATTTTTTTGGTAAATATATTTATCAAGTAAAATATTATATCTATCAGTCTAGATATAGAACATACCAGCATAACTATTTCATTTCATAAATCGATAAAAAAAATAATAATAATAATAATAGAACGCGTTTAACACTTATAATAATGATATTTATTATTGTCCGTTATTATCCTTTAAAACACTTATATAAAACAAAAGCTCACAAAATTACGTTTATTTATTATGTTGGATATCATGTCATATGATAAATTGTGGGAGGTAAGTTGACAAATCAAAATTTGGTATATTCTTTTCAATTTTATAGATAAATGGTATATTACGAATATAGAAATTAATACTACTAAAATAATAATTTAAAATCTTTATTAATATGCTAAAATGTCGTAAAAGTTTTATTTCCTAGAATAACATTTTACTGAAGTTTGGAATCCCTATAAATACCAAATCAAATCTAATATCTTCTTCCACAAACTCACAGCGACTACAAAGTCTATAAGTGCATACATCCATTGACTTGATACTGAAAGAAACTATGCCTTCGTCTTCTTCTTCTACAACTGCAACTGATTCAGTTGCCAAAATCTCCAAATGCAAAATTCATCCAGACAAAAACTCCATAATCAAATCCTTGAAGCTCTCAGTTTCTGATCTTCCCATGCTCTCTTGCCAATACATCCAAAAGGGTGTCTTGCTCTCTCAACCTCCTTTGCCTCCCCACCACCTAATTCCCCTCCTCAAACTTTCTCTCTCTAAAACCCTCTCTCATTTCCCGGCCCTCGCCGGCCGCCTCTCCACCGACGACAAAGGGCATGTCAACATTATCTGCAACGATTCCGGTGTGGAGTTCGTTCATTCCACCGCTACCCATCTCTTCACCCATCAAATTCTACTCCCCAATTGCGACGTTCACCCATGCTTCAAGACTTTCTTTGCTTTTGACAAGACCTTGAGTTACGCCGGGCACCATCAACCAATCGCCGCCGTGCAAGTGACAGAGCTTGGGGATGGGGTTTTTATTGGGTGCACCGTTAATCACGCGGTGGTCGACGGGACTTCCTTCTGGAATTTTTTTAATACTTTTGCTGAGATCTCGAAAGGAGCCATGAAAGTAACGAACTCGCCGAATTTTTGCCGGGAAAATGTTTTTAACTCTCCGGTGGTCCTGCCACTTCCCGACGGTGGACCGGCTGCTACGTTTTCCGGTGATGAGCCGCTACGGGAGAGGATCATTCACTTTAGCAGGGAATCAATCTTGAAGATGAAATTCAGAGCCAATAATCCGTTATGGAAACCCCAAAACTCCGATCTGAACGACGCAGAGATTTACGGGAAGGCGAATAACGACGGTAACGGAAAACATAACGGCACGTTAAAGCCCAAAAGTGAAATTTCGTCATTCCAATCACTTTGTGCTCAATTGTGGCGTTCTGTAACACGCGCGCGTAATTTCCACGACACAAAAACGACGACGTTCAGGATGGCTGTTAACTGTAGACATCGATTAGATCCTAAGGTGGACCCCTTTTATTTCGGTAACTTGATCCAAAGCATCCCAACCGTTGCTTCCGTTGGGGACCTACTTTCACATGACTTGTCGTGGGCAGCCAATCAGCTCCACCAAAATGTGGTGGCACATGATAATGTTACTGTGCGCCGAGGTGTGAAGGATTGGGAAAACAATCCAAAGTTGTTTCCTTTGGGTAACTTTGATGGTGCTATGATAACCATGGGAAGTTCTCCTAGGTTTCCAATGTATAACAATGACTTCGGGTGGGGTCGGCCCATGGCGATTCGCAGCGGTAAGGCTAATAAATTTGATGGTAAGATTTCGGCTTTTCCAGGTCGTGACGGTGATGGCAGTGTTGATCTTGAGGTGGTATTAGCTCCCGAGACCATGGCCGGCCTTGAATGTGATCAAGAATTTATGCAATACGTGTCTTAAAGGTTGTTTATTGAATTTTATTTTAGACATTTTGTTATCGATCGATTTCTATAGCAAATTATTGTATAAATATTTTGAAATAATGACAATTAAATTAAAAAAGAGTGATTAAATTTTCTAAGACATTGGTTTTTAAATTTCTATTAAAAGAAAAACTTAGTTTTGTTGGTAAATATATAACTGAAAAGAAGGAAGGATTATCATAGTTTATGATAAAAGTTTATAATTATATAATTGATTTAGTTATTAAATAAAGTTTATATTAATAAAATTTAATTTATATTTTCGATATTTATGATAATGATTTAAGTAAATCACAAATGTATATATAACAATCAAAATTTTGTATTTTTCATATAACAATGACTTATTAAAAGTTAAAAACTCATATGATACATATACATTAAAGTCAGAACGAGTACTCACAATGCCATACACATGGTGGTGAGGCGGCGGATAGCCAAGATGTGCACACTAGCCTACCTCCAGTGGAGCGATGAATTAGAGCCACACTGTGTGGCTTTATGTGGTCTGCACCATATCTTTCAACAGAATATATGGCTCTTGTGCCTCTCTTCATTTCTTGTTTTTCTTTCTCTTTCGATGTTTTGTGGAGACCACATCATTGTTAATGTGGTGTGGTGTTGATTATTGATGGTGATTTGGAGGAAACTCTCGCCCTTAGTGTTGGGAGTACTCCAGATGACCTAAGTTGTAGAAAGGTAGGTCATCTTTTAAAGATTCGATTACTGGATAAAACCAAACTGTATCCATAACTTCCTTATATGTTTGGGATTCATTATTCACTACAAATGTTATGTAATGAGGTCTAAAATTTTTGGCTATTTTTTCCAATTTGCTTTTTCTAGGTTCTAAGTTCTCTTCTTGAACCTTGGAAGAACTCTCTTCATTTGTCTGTAAACTTTTGTCAACAATGGTTTCATTCAGTCCATAATCTAGAGGTCTTTTCCTTGAGCATGAAACCCTTTTCCCTTTATCCTTGTAAGGAAATACATTTTCAAATAATTCAACCTCTGTTGATTCCATGGTATTGTTATGGATATCATCAACATGTGATTTGTAGAAAAGAAACCTATAGACTGCACTATTCATGGCAGGTCCAAGATAGATACAATCTATGATTTTTGGTCCAAGGTTGGTCCTCCTGGGAAGATTTATCACTCTTTTTTTGAGGAATTCTATTAAGTATTGAATTTGTTGCAAGACATGCTTCTCCCTACATATTATGTGGTGCTCTAGAAGTGATTAACATTTAATTAATCATGTTTTTCAATGTTCTTTTCTTCCTTTCACCACTTCATTCTGTTAAGGAGTATATGGAGCAGTTTTTTGATGTGTAATACCATATAAAGAACAAAAATCAGCAAAGTCTTCAGACTCATATTCTCCTCCTCGGTCCGACCTTAAAATTTTGATCTTTTTGTCAAGTTGATTTTAAACTTCAGCCTTATAGTTCTTAAAAGAGGTCAAGGCTTTATCTTTGGTATTTAACAAAAAAAATATAACAATACTTGTTGCAATCATCTATAAAAGACATATAATAATTCTTTCCTCATCTTTTAGGTGTTGCTCTAAAATCATATAAATCATAGTGGATTAAACCAAGAATGTCATTAGATTTTTCTATTGATTTATGAGGGTGTTGACAAAATTTCGATTCTACGCAAACCTCGCATTTCATAATTTTTTCTAATGAACATTTTTGTAACATGCCCAGTTTTGTCATTCTTTGAATAGAACGAAATTGGCATGTCCCAATCGAGAATGCCATAAAAATAAAGGATCATGCATACACATAGAAGAGGGGATAGTAGTGCCCATTATTGCATTAGTATTACTAACCATGTTGGTTTGAATCATTACAACAAACTAATTTGGTGATTCAACCATGTTGGTTTGACCAGAAGTTCCTCCACCAAAATTTCCACCATTGTTTCAATTGTTTCCTCTAAAATTGCCTCCTTGACCCTTCCTAAATTTGCAACCATTGGCCTTATGTCTAGTTCTGCCACAAACATAGCAAGGACCCGGATTCTTCTTGTTTGGGCCATGGTTTTTGCCATCTTTAGAAGATTTTTTGGATCCATGCTTCTTTTTCTTGTTGTTATTTATTATCTTTGAAGTATGTGCTTCTCCAACAAAGTTTGTGTTAATATATATCTGTATTAGATTGTATTTTCCAGGCCCGTATTCTTTGTAAACGGCCCATGTATTTGTATTCTATTATATATATATATATATATTATATATATATATATATATATATATATATATATATATATATATATATATATATATTGATTTAATGAGAAGGGTAATTTCATGGGAAATAATAAACTCAACTTGGTATCAGAGCTCTCCTGATTTCTCTCACCCTAGACGCCGCTTCCTCCTTGGCACAAAATCCCTTCTCATTTCATTATTATTTTTTTGTCTTCTGTGTCGATCTCCCTTCTCTTCTTGGTGCAATCATCGACATCCAATACCAATATCACCTCAGAAAAACTTTATGGCATATCCAACATCAAAGCCTCCATACCCATCATTCTTGATCTAGAAAAACTTAACTATGATGCATGGCAAAGCTGTTTTAGACTCACTGCATCGGTTTTGGGATGGCTGATCATCTAAAAGCCCCAACTGAAAAAACTATTGCTGTCACGGATGAATGGGAGAGGATTGATAACATCGTGCAAATGTTGATGTTTTGTACTATCTCTGAATCATTACTTCATATGGTACTCAGGAAACAAAGCTCAGCTCATGAGATGTGGCAAGACCTTGAATACCTGTTTCGCATCAACAAAGATGCAAAAATTATCCAACTTGATAATGAACTTCGCACGATCAATCAAGGTGAATCTGATGTTTCTTCTTACTGCACTCGTCTCAAGTCTATTGTTGATATGATTGAGGATATTGACTCTCTTGTGCGTGAAAAAAATCTTGTTATGTATGCTATCAATGGGTTAAACCCAAAGTTTAAGAGTGTTGCTACTATCATACGCCACAGCAAGCCCCTTCCGAGTTTTCTGGAAACTCGATCCATGCTTATGGCTCAAGAACACCGAATCAAACAACTTGATCACTCGCTCACTCCATATGTCACTCCTTCATTGCCTACTGTCTTGGTTGGTGAAAAACATAACTCATCTCAAAATACCACTCGTGGAGGATTTAATCACCATGGTGGTCGAAACGGTGGCAGGGGGAGAGGTCGCAACAGTCGTGATGGTGGTTGTTGGTCACACTCGACATGTCAAACTCTCCAGGCTCCTCATGGTTGGGGATTCGGATGGTACCCATTGCAAATAGGACAAGGCTTGCTGCCAAGACCCCCTCAGTAGCTTAACTTCGTCCCTCAACAGCCTTTGTGGGCCGGTAATCAAGTGCAACAACAAAAACAACCTAATCTGCAAGCTTTAGCCCAACAACTCCCTCCAACCCATTAGGCATTCACAACGCATCAGTCCAACAGCACTCCTCCGCCCTGGGCTTGGTTTCAACAAGATTCTTCAGGTGCAAATCAGCCAACTAACCTTCCAGAAATGTTCAATTCGATTTCTCTCAATGATCCATTAAACGATGGATGTGTAATGGACATCGGGGCCACTACGCACCTTCACTCCAATGCAGGTATACTCATATATATATTAGGGATAAGTGCATTAATTTACCTTATGTTTTAGTTAGTAATGGGTCTAAAATTCTTGTCTACAATTTTGTACACTTGTATCTATCTAACTTCAATCCTAATCATCCCCTTATTCTCAAAAATATCCTTATCACACCCCAAATCATTAAAATTTTGATATATGTTCGTAAGTTTACTCATGATAATCTTTGTTCTATTGAGTTTGATTCTTATGGTTTTTCTGTGAAGGATTTTCAAACCAAGAAAATCCTCATCCGATGTGATAGCTCTGGCGACTTGTACCCTATCACGTTACCTCCACATCAAGCTTTGGTCTCTCCTAACTCCACCATTTGGCACTAACGGCTTGAACACCCCGGTCAAGAAGTTTTTAATCAGCTTTCTTCGCAAAATTTATTCCTTGCAAAAACATTAAAAATTCTACTTTATGTCAGTCTTGTCAGTTAGGAAAACATGTTAGGCTTCCTTTTACATTGTCGAATACTGTTGCTTCTTATGCTTTTAAAATTGTTCGTTATGATGTTTGGACTTCTCCGGTTCTTAGCAACTCTGGTTTTAAGTATTATGTTCTATTTCTTGACCAATTTTCTCATTATTTGTGGGTGTTTCCTATCAAACATAAATTTGATGTGTTTGAAAATTTTGTTCAATTTAGCACTCATGTCAGAAATCAATTTCGATGTGATATTAAATATTTTCAATGTGACAATGGGGGTGAGTATAATAATACTCAATTTCATAATTTTTGTACCACCAATGGCATCCAAATGCGCTTTTCTTGTCCATACACTTCCCAACAAAATGGGAAGTTTGAACGTATGATTCGTACAATCAACAACACTATTTGCACTCTTCTCTTTCAAGCTCGCCTCCCTCCTACATATTGGGTCGAGGCTCTTTTCATGGTTGTTCACGTTCTCACCATCACTCCCTCCACCACCATCAATCATATGTCTCTTTATCAAAAACTCTATAATAAAACACCGTCATATTCTCACCTTCGAGTCTTCGGTTGCCCATGTTACCCTCATATTCCAACTCCTCATAAATTATCTCCTCGTTCCACCCTATGTATTTTCCTTGGATATCCTACTCATCACAAAGGGTATAGATGTCTTAACCTTCATACAAATTCCATTATAATTTCCCGTCATGTAATTTTTGACGAGACTATTTTCCTTTTTGGTTCTTTCACTCCCAATGTCGCTCCAAACTATTCTTTCTTAGACACATCTGATACTCCTAACATTACTGCTACTAAACTCTTATTCTCTCCTTTTTCACAACCTAATCCCTCTTCCGCTACCCAGGTCTCTGACCATTC